GCGGTGGAAAAGCTGAGGAGTGGGAAGGAGGAGGGGTGAGGGGGTGGGGGGGGGAGAGGGGGGGTCACTACTGACAAGTAGGAGAAAATGTAGTTGCTGGTTGGTTATGGGCATGATCCAGTGAAATTTCAATGCTCTTACATATTGTTGACTTCAAGAGTAGTCGAAATAACAAACATCTCAAGGCAAAAGAGAACATTTCTAAAATTGTCCCTTGTGATGTTAATTACCCAAGCATTTTGCTTAAAAAATGAACAGTGCATAATTTTTTCATCCTTCTTTTCTATCTCTGAAGTCAGTTTGGAGAAGGAGAGTGCTCCCGTTTGTACTCTTTCAATTAGTACTTTTTTTGTCCTGTTAATGTTGGAATGTGTAATTTTTGTTGGCTTCAAGGTTTTGCATGGCACATTGAGGACTGCACCCCAAAAGTAAGTGAGGCTAAGAACCACAGTAGTTAGGGCCACTTCTGTTATTTTTCTTTTTTCTTTTTTACATTTCATTTCAATTTATGACTTATTTAATTGTATTATTTTTATTTTAAACATGTTATACATTTGACTGGTTGTAATAATAAAAATCCCCCCCCCCAAAAAAATAAGTTGTAACTTTTTTCTTTTATCAGTAGAGAGCATCATGGTCTTGAGAATCTTTTTTTCAGTGTCACAGCTCCCTCTTCTGAAAAATAACCATGGTCTTTTTTTGCAAAATAGAAAAGAACAAGTTACTAAGGGTTATCATTGGCTTGGGCAGGACCAAAATTTTCAGCCCTGCTTTTTGAGGGCTTTCCCTTAAGCCTATTTCCTTTAGCCTATTTCTCTCCCCCCACCCAACCTTTTTTGGTGGGCTTATTCAGAGATTTTAAGAGTGAAAAGCTCTTTATTTTATTAAAAATAAAAAGCCCTTTATTTTGACACTTAGCCCCTTAGCCACTTAGTATATCTAAGACCTCGCTCTCTTATTCTGCATTGTTTCCTTTGTTTCTATTTTTCCTCCTGGGAAGTCCCTGGGAAGCCTATAGGCAGAATAAAAGGTTGAGCATCTTTGCTTCACTGTCAGCAACCACTGTTATCCCATGGAGTTCTATTATTCTGTGGATGGAGGGACTATATAAACTGGATTCACACCTTGCCAAACCACCATTTTGGAATCCTCATCCATAGACCAAACCACAGACTAAGCTAGGTTTACCCAACATGCTGCAGCAAATTGAACATAACACGCTATTAGCATAGTATAGGAACTGAGTCATAACATAACAGATATAACATAGCATAATATAAATAGCTCTATTCCATATCTATTTGTCCAAGTTCCTTTTCAAATTCTCCCATTTGGTGGACATCAAGTTGATATAGATCTTGCAGAAGTGAATTTTGCATTGTCTGACATACTTATCTGTTCCAAATCCTTCACCATCCAAATTTCTTAGTGATTCTGGATTCTAGTATTTGTTGTGTCTAGTTGAATTTGGCTGATCTTTAAAAAGCTAAGCAAGGTCAAACCTAGCTCGTCCTCAGAAGGAGACTACCATTTGAGAAGTCACCAAAAGCTAAGCTTGAACTGAGGAAGTCATTCATTTCCCTATACTATATCTCTGTTACATCTCTATTATGTTCTCTTCCTCATGTCCCCACTCAGTTCCAAAACCTCGAATGTCCTTTCTTCATCAGGGACATATTCCAGCCCTTTGATCCATTGGGTCCCATCTTTTTTTCTCTTCCCCAACAAGCACAACTGTACACAGGACGGTTAGGGCAGCTTTCCCAAAGACATCACAATATCAGTAATGTTGCCTACATTTTGCGAAGTGCACAGCTAACTCTAGAATTAACAACATGTTGTTGCAGGGATGGGTAATATGAAAGAAAGAAAAAGTACATAGCTGCAATGATGAACAGAGTTAACCCCCTTCTGGCTATATCTATATTTTAAAAAGTAGCGAGCAAGACCGGCTGCTACAAACAAGTGCTGTCAGCCTCTAGAGGTGCTGATACTTCCATCACTTTTGCTTTCTGGCTCTTTTCTGGCCATTTAAGGCCCCCAGAACCTAAGAAGAGCTCAGATGGATCAGGCCTTCCACTCAGCTAGTGGATCATCCTGTACCCCAGTAGCTCACAAGTCCAAGCTGAGGAGTGACAGCTCCCTTCCAGCAACCTGTATTTCAAACAAGCTGTCTCCTACTCGGGAGCTAATACCCAGACAGCCATCAATATGGGACACTCAGGAGAAAAGCAGGATCCATGTATGGTAGCCCCAAATCCGAAGAAGTCCACATTGTATTAAAAGACATTCAGCTCCCTTCCTAAGAGGCTTCCCTTCAGCCACTCCAGCATCTGATGAGATGAACTGCGGGTCAAGAGCCCTTATGCCTTCTGTTAGTCCAAAAGGACTGCTTGGCCATCAGTATCAGTAGCCACTGTTAGCCAGATCCTCCAGGAGCCAAGCCAGCCCAGTTAAAGCCATCCACGCTGGCCACCAGGAGCACAGCCGACAGCCCTTGGTCCTCCCTTCTCTGCTACCTGCCAAGAGCTCCACCCTTTGCGCTTCGAGATGCCCAAAGCGGGCGCCCCGGGCAGGCTCGCCCGCCCCACGGAGAGGGGCAGCAGAGGCGCTCCGCGGCTGAGTTCCTGGCAGATCCTGGCAGCCCTTCTCCCACCTCCGGGAGCGACCCGTCTCGGAGGCGTTAGGAAGGCGGAGAAGCGGCGGCCTCCGCGGAGAAATGCGGGAGAGCACAACCCCACCT